GGCAACGAGTCGGGAACCGAGACGTTGAAGTCGCCTGTGCAGGGAAGTTTGTCAGGTTCGAAATGTCCGCGGGGTTCGGCCAATCCAGAGGTTTCAAAAGCGGCGATGTCTTCATCGGTGAGCTGCCCCATCCCGTCCAAAAAGTCTTTGGCCACCAAGTTGATCACATGGCACATACAGCCATGGAACCTCGACTCAAATGGCCAGTGGATGCCGATGGTCGCGTACCGATCGGCCAAAACTTTCGCCATTGCACGATTGGACGAGGCATTATCGCCAGTAACTGAGTAGTGAGTCCGAACCGCCCCGACGTGTTCGAGCGCTTTCCAGTACACCTTTGCGAGGTTTTCGCCCGTATGCTTGCCTTCCAACTTCTGAAAGATAGATAATACAATAAGTTACACATGATAAAACCTGCTCGAGAGACATAAAAAGGAAACTTGCCTTGAAAGCCAACAATCGACGACAGAACTTGCCTTCGGGATTGAAAAAAAACCCGTTGATGGCCATGCACGTATGGCTGAAGTCCGCGCTGGTCCAACAGTCCGTGGCCGTCGAGATGGAACCAGTCACCGACGCGACCTCGTCGATAAGTTTGCGTTCCAAGTCAAGGAACAGTGCCTCGGAATCTGACTTCAACGCATACGAGCCGGCCAATAAAATGAGGGTGCTATCGCGCGCAATGCCTTTTGCATGAGACGACCTTCGAAAATCGAGAAGGGCAAGTTTTTGCTGATCACCGCACCAACGAGGAGGGTGCGCAACTCTTTCTTGCGGTCTGCGGCGACGATAGGGTTGCTTTCCGGCTCGATACTTCCGGGGGCATGGTTGTACCATGCGAGAGCGAGACCTGGGCACTTGCGTCGGTGCTTGTGCAAGTTAGAGTTGGGACGGCCAGCGATCGAAAGAATGACCCTGTTAAAGACATAGACATCATGGATCAGCGTGTGTATTTCGATCGCTAGGTAGGCCACATAGATGTGACTGACGGGCAATGCAGACATGAGTACGCTTGCGTGCCTTCAGCTTTGTTATCGTCGTTTGACGGCATGGCCTCCTAAATCCATCACAATCATCAGCATACACGTAGACTTCAGAAAATAGTCGATTGCGTGGAATCTAACTTACATCAAAATACAGGTACACGTCGGATCGGTGTCGATGGGATCGGATTGTGGCCTCCTCGCCGTTGTGTTCAGCAGTGTCCTGCACCACGAAGGACCTAGGACGAGATGGAGGTGTGGCCTTGAGATTATTTGAAGTCGAAGAAAGACAAGGAGCTAAACCAACCACACGTGAGGCCAAAGTAACACGGGAGCCTGACATGACATGTGAATTTGAAGACGCAGGCGCTGGGGTCACACGTCTTGCATAGGGAGAGACTTTCGAAGGCGGTGGGGTATTGTTGACATTTCGAGGCATGCTTTCTAAGTAATCGGCTGGTCTATAGGTAACCAAGTCGGGCGAAATAGAACGGTTATGAAGATAAGGAGCAATTGAAGGGAGTAAAAGAAACGGTCTGAAGCACGGGAAGGGGAGGTGGTGAAGGTAAGAGAGGGGGCGAACAAAGCTTATAATAGATGGGCATGACTTACCTTGGGTCATACGACCATTCCATCATTCCAAGCGCCCCCATCTGTCCATTAATCCAAGCCAACGCCGGCCACACGATCTCAATCTGCCCACCGGGATCTAAAGATATATCTGCCACCATGATACAAAAGAAGAGATCAAATATAATCGGAATAGTCTACAAGCCCAAGCCACTCATATAGAGTGAGTTCGAAGTGGGAAAAGTTGAATGACAATATGGCGTGACGAGATGTTCCGGGTAGCTCAATCAGGATGTAGGATGGCAGGAATCAGGGACTAGGATTGGACTAGAAATCGTGTGGACCAGGATTTGTTGTTTGATATGAATTCGAACAGGTGGCGGTGTCTTCAGAGGCGGTGTTGGTGGATATCTCGTTGCCCTTCGTCAATATTGATCGTGGATAAGCAAGGAATCCAGCTTTGTGGATCCGGTGGGTGGAGGCCTTGTTTGGATGAGTATATGGTGAGTATATACTCATCCAAACAAGGATCACGGTAAAAGAAACTCAGTGAGTTTTTTTACGGATCCTCCACAAACATTGAGTATGTGTAATCATTTTACATACTCAATGTGAGTTCTCCGAGATGGAGTGTAACTCAAACAGCCCCGCAGAGGAGTACCTGTACTCCTCTGCGGGGCCCATACCCGTCTTTAGTGAGTATGAGTTGGGTATACTCATACTCACTAATGCATCCCTGCTTTAGATCATACATGTACTTTTACTAGAGTAGGAGCAGTAGTTTTGGGTAAATGGGTAAAACCCAATGACCCGGCCCCGGTATGTAGGAATCCGCCCAGGATCATCAAAAGAAAAGGTTTTTTTGCATTTTTCTCCTCAACCAGCAATCCGAAAAACTTGAGGCTGGTATCATAAGATAGTCCTTCTTTGCCTACACACAATGGGCTACTGTACACCCTCATAAGTAGCCAAGTGTTGTGTGCATGAGCAAATACTCAAAAACGTGTGTTTTGTTAGGAGGGTCTGTACGCGCTTTCCGGGGTCCTGCTCCAAGTCCTTCATAAAGAGACAACCAAACTATCACTGTGTGCAGGTGAATTAAATTCATGTGTAGAGGAGGAGCATTCAACTACGTCAGACTCACAGTGCAAACAAACTCTCCTGGTTGGGTTCTGGTTTGTCTGACAATCAGTGCATTTGAAGGTGGAGTTTGACTGTTGGGTACAGCTTCCAAATAAAGATGGCCCACAGGAAGTGCCAATGTACACTTGATGCCCACTCCGCAAGATGTTATAAATAAATATGAGAGAGTGTATATTGATAGGGAATAGAGAAGGTTGGAAAGCATTTTGAAGTAAGGAAATACAATCAGGCCGGTGAATGATGTGATTCAAAGGCCTGGCTAGTGAGAAACACTCAGATTATCAGGTAAATTCAAGGATTGCCTGACACTCAGTAGATACTGGGATCTTGTCTCTGGTGTTGAAGATGAAAGGCAGGCAAGGGAGAGATCTCCAGAAGAAAGCCATTTATATCACTCACAATAGATTTGGGCAAAACATTGACTGCACACATCCAAGAAAATTGGTAAAACTGTGCTTGTTTCAAACAACTTTTCCAAAGCTCAACCCAATGTTTACAACCATGGGCCAAACTGCTTGCATAGGGTTTGCCTATAATGAGAAGACATGTTGTGTTTCACAGCACCAACTTTTGCCAGAATCAGTGTGTAACACAACTAACACAACATGGTAGATAATTGAACCCTTACCTCCAAAGGTATATGCATCTTCACACCCTCACATGACACCGCGGGAATGATCAAGTTCAAAACCCGATTGAGCGAAGTTGCGGTGTCCGAGTCCGCAACTTTGCTCAATCGCCGATCTTGTTCACATCTCGTTCACATCTCGTTCACAGGTTTCCCTTAAGTTGTACTCTCCCTCGTACATGACTCCGTGCCGAGCTCCTTTCTTTGTTGATTGATCTTCTGGATCACAAACAAAGATCATATTTTCCATCACACCATCCACCAATTCCCTGTCCGTATCTCAAAAGGTTCATCAAGTTCATTGTTGTTTAGCATCAGTGGTGAGCAACGTAAAGAATGGTGTAGGGACAATGCTTCTTGCAGTGTGACAAAAGCACTGCAATGAAACCTGGAAAGTAAGACCAGAATACATAGTGGCAAGGACGATGTCTGATGACTTGCAAGGGATTCTATGTATGTACTACATATGACCACGCGTCGAGAAGGAGATTGGTGTAGCAGAGGATAGCTCGAGGGAAACCTGTGAACGAGATGTGAACGAGATGTGAACGAAATCCGTGATTGAGAAAAGTTGCGGACCTGGACACCGCAACTTCGCTCAATCGGGTTTTGAACTTAATCATTCCTGCGGTGTGAGTGGTGGTTTTTCCAGGTTTACATATGTGGTATTCTCATGGGGTGTGATACAGATCAAAGGATGTACACTTTGAATTCACAGTGCCTTGTTGATACTGCACACCACACCACATGCCCGGATCATTTGCTTCAATGTTTCATTGCTTGCTTGACAATGACATTGATAAATCTTTCAACTTCATGGTAAATATAGAGACAATGCTGCAATGGCTCTTGTGGCCCAAAGCGTCTGAGATTTGGTTATGATGTTGCAAACGTGTAAAGTGACTGCATACATTGGACTAAAGTGCGGAGTTATAGAGCCCAATGAAGATCTGTACTTTGAGACTGGATGCTTTGATGCTCTTGCCAAAGAAATCTGACTTAAAAACCTTTACTGTTAGTATTATTTTGATCAACACCCAAAACTTCAATAAGTGAAAGCTTGTTTGGATCCAGCAGGTATCATGTCAGCTAATCCTCAGAGTGTTCAACCAAGCCCCAGTGGTGTATAAGATGGAGACCATACCATTTACTTTTGCTGATGATCCTGTTCATCTCATCCTGTTGGGGCATTGCAAGTTTCTATTTGGGTAATGTGGGAAAGATGACACTCTCTGACAGACACTTATCTCACTGTGATACTGGTGATGGGACAGTGGGTAGCAACAAGTCTTGCAAGCCTTGCGCTTTGGTTGGAGCTTTGCTCACTCTTGTTGCTGTGGGGTCAAGGTGGGTTATTTTCCGACACATTTATATGGTTGGTGCAAGGGCTCATTGCACTACAGCACCGATGTACCGTGGAGCTGCAAGCAAAGGTAAAAAAAATCGACGTGCACGCCTTGCTACACCCTCAATAACCTTCAGGAACCTAATTTGAGGTGGCCAGATTTCTACCTCAATGTTTGCAAAGTGAATCATTTCCATTGATCACTGCTCATGGTAGACTAAATTCACAAAATTGCGTAAGCAGTGGGATTACAAGGAGAGAAAGACTTGTATATGTATACAAAGAATTGTAAAAATGAGAAGACAACACAAAGGCATAGATTGATGACAACTCAAGAATCTATAGCACAGTAGCGTGAAAAGCAGTCCTCGCATTGAGGCGGTCTTGGAGTTCCATTACGCTGTAATTGTCGGTCAATCAAAGCGCAGCCAAGACATGCAGGCCAAGTAGGGTCCTGAGTTGTCCCAATAGACTGGGTGGCAATCGCAAAACCGTTCTCAAAATATCCATCAATTTGTGCGCCCTGCATGGTAAGCAATGTCTGTCAACTCCCTTCATGTAATATGATCTGACACGTAAGATTATGACAATTTTACTGACTGTGTATGTTGTTTCTTTAGAGGGTATGTCCGTTTTTGCTACAGAATAGTAGTTGGGTAGATAAATCACCAGAGGGGTTGGGGCGGAATCCTTGCAACCAAAGAAAGTTGGACGTTTGTTATAGCCCAGCTTTTCAAATGTCCCGTCAATTCCATTAGGTATCCTGGCCAAAAGAAACAAAGAGATACTCGTAAGGCTCTCAGTTTAAATTATCCAAAGAAAGAAAGAACTTGTCTTTACACACTTGGGGAAGCGATATCCAGTATATCCAGGCTGCTGAGTTTTGAGATATGTCATGTAAATGGAAGTCCCGTTCGGATCTAGTCAAGTCATTAACATGAGTGGATGGATTCTCTAGCGAAGTGAACTGAGGACTTACATGTTACTTTTGCTTCCTCAGACGTGTCACCTGGATTGGCAGTCTATTTCAAGGAGGTGTGTAAGCAAATATGTAATTTCATTCTCCATCTTGTTGCCAGATGACCTACCGAGTCGACTGCAATGATTGCATCTACTTTTCTTGAGGGTTGTATCAACGGAAAAAGGGGGATATTCTCGTCGGCAAATCCCCCATCAGCCATGAGGATGTTGTCCATGTTGCTATCCGGGAAGATCCCAGCATCAGATTTCGTCGACTGGCCTAGACCTTTGAATGTGTTGGGCACCTATTGACAGTGAGAACTTTGACCATCAGTATCTGAGAACACGCTTGCTTTTGAGGAAAATTTCTAAACACGAACCAGTCCCTCATAGTCGGTGTCTTTCAAGACAAGGTCAATGACTTCTTCAAACAACTTCTTTTTACCAGGAGCATCACCAACAGAGAGTATGTTGCTTGACATCCCCATAACAAATCCAGCGTTCTCAAACCCTAAAACACAAGACTTTGACTTCTTTTCACGCCCATCAGGCGAAGAGCCTAGATGATCGATTGGCATAGTTGCATTGAGAGCGGGGTGCCATACTGAAAAATCGTTGGGTGTGTATTCGTCTATATGCGGTATCATTGAGCCATCCTACCAGAGCTTGGTTTTCAGTGATTTGTAAAAGCACAAGACTTACAAATAGGACTGGAAAGGGTGATAGGCTGACGGGTTCCTGGCCGACTCGTGCTCACAGCAATGATGTATGGGAATTCTCGAGTCTTGTAACCCTGAGTACCTCTAGTGGATGACCATAAAACTCTTTGGCCTTCTCTCGCCGCGCCTTGCGATGGATCGTTACTGGATATAATAATCAGCTTGAGCGTGCTGAGGCGCTTGACATCAGTCACTTACATAAAATGCCGGGAAACGATTCGTCCCCAAACGCTACAAACCATACGTGATAGATAGGAGTGAGCAAATTCCGTAATCTTTGCCCGCGCATGTAAATAAAATACGTAGGCAATTGGGGTTCCAGACTTACTCTACAAGACTGACCGGAAAGCCAGCGTCTTTCTTTTCCTTGACAGTACGTGCTACTTGATGATAATGCTTTGCGATGTTCCAATCCCACAAGTCGTTCTCTTCCGTGAGCTTCCATAATGTTTGATTCAGCAAGGGAAGCCTTGGAAAGTTTGCTGTAGCCTGCGCATAATCAGAATGAGTCACGCAAGGAAGGTGCATTCGGAAATGAGACCGAGAGCTGAGTCATATCCACTCACCCAAGAGCCCAACAACCATGACCCTCTGTGTTTGGATGACAAGAAAAAATGGCACGCCAGCGCACATGTCAGCGTGTAGGATGAGTGATTTGAGGTGTTACTAGACAACGAAAGCGTCTTAGAACATACCCAGAAAGGCCCGCTGCGTAGTTCGCCAGCTGAACAAGGCCTCCTACTTTAGCTTGAACACCTCTCTCATTCCGCCCGTCCATGGCTTCTAGAATCGAGGCGCCGACACACAGGGCTCGAGAGCCCCCTCCACTGAAGGCAAAACCAAAGTTCGGAAGGGTTTCGGCGGTACGTCCACCTTGGTTGTTGGCACGCGCAAGGAATCCTTCAACGTCCAACCCGGTTAAGTTGAGGCGCGTGAGGTAATCTTTCCACAATGGTACAGAATTGGCGGTTTTTTCCGAAACGTAAGTCTGTTCGGCAATAGTGATCTGTGACTGGGTTCGAGAAGGAGATATCACTGTAAGTCTGGGTCCGATCCAAAGAAGAAGCCATGCCACAACTCTACAATCATGCAGCTGAGCAAGTCAGATCAGATGGAGCTCACTTCAGCAGGCTGAGAGACCAGATTATCTGGGCAGTCCGTCCGCAATGGTGCATAATTTATCGAAGGAGAGGTTTGTAGGGCAGGATCCCTACGTTGAAATTTGAATGCGTATGAACCCAAAGGTTCGACACTAAGTAGCAGGCAGCGGAAGATTATCGAAAACACGGAGATGCTCGAAACAATCATATTGCACGCCTGTGCGGAAGCGATCGAGTGTTAGTGATTGTCAGCCAGAAATATAATCGATTTTGCAGACGAATATCAGCCGGATGATAAGAAAGGCAGCTCGCAAGCAGATCGGGGGCATGGAGATATATGTGGTTGTAAGGCCACGGTAGCCGGCGGAACATGCCCCCACGAGTCAATGCCATAAGCATAATTAAGCCCCTCTTCCGAGTAACCTTAATGTATACAGCAGGTATCAGTTGCCGCGAATTATCCATTGGAAACGGGATGAGGGATGATACTTTCAAACCTGTTTGGAAGCTACGGACATTGATTTAAGCGTTAGAGCGACTCGACGGTGGACACAGCCTGTAGGAGATGCCGAGCTGTGTATCCGTTTCTGGTGCCCGTGGTACGGTTCAGTTCTAACTTAACTCCCTCCTGGTGCCTGGGGGGGCCTATGTGAAGTTAAGTGTGTAGGTGAACTTGATATCAGTCATCACGCTCCCAATAATTTTATTTATTCGTGTCCTCAAGTGTCAGCGGTGCAAAAAGTAAACAGATTGGGTACCATGGAGATGGTTCTAAAACATATTAAACCTCCTGGTGAACTCGTGCGTGCCGACTAGCGGGGGCTCGAGAGAGGGTCGACTGGATATCAAGAAAGTTTATGAAGTTAAAGACTTCCTTCTGCGATGTCACTTCTTTGTTCTCTACTTTTCTTTGCGAAGAATTCCTCAACTGCTGCTATGTTGAATTCTCCCTAATCACAAAATGTGTATATTTAAACTCGAAGCACATTGTCCATGGGCCATTTGACCAGCAGATGGCTGCGGTAAAACCAACAGCTAGTCAATATCGCAACAAGCCGCTTCTGTTCGCCTTTCTTAAACTGTCGAGTTCAATGATGTCTGCTGCTCTCGTCATCCTGATCTTGGAGTCAATCTATGGCTTGTGATAGCGCAAGATTGATACTCTGGAGAAATGAATAGAAAGGTCTGTTTGCCTTGACACATTTGGGAAAACATGTATTACTGGATTACACAATGTCAATGTAATTATTATTTCAAGATTAATAATGGTATACATAATACTGTAAATCTTAAGCTAATAACCTTTAAATGATCATAGATCATTATAGAGTAGAAATTGAAGTCACAAACTGAAAGATAGTAAATATATAGCTCTAAAGCTGAGTAATGAAAATGTGATCAAACTGTGCAAAATGATTTTACAAAAAAAAGGGTGAAAAGGTAGTTTATATGGGGCTTAAAAGAATGTATAGCAGCCAAAGAAATTGAAAGGATTGAGAATTTAGATTATAAGCACGTGAATGAAATTGAAAGCCATCGTTTTCATCATCCCACGTCTGTTGATCTTTTTAGTTTTTAACATATCAAGAGTAGGGATCGGAAACTTTTGACTAATTGGAAACCTTAGCGTCTTTGAGTAGTTGTTGTGCGTGCATATTTCCTGTGAATGCAACATGCAAAGGAATTGACGTAAATGTTCAATTCTCTACGAGGCGGAAAACACATAGAAGGCGTAGTTCACTCACGTGAGAACGGGTAGAGACTTTTTGGCTGCCTGTAAATCTCGACGAGCTTGGCGAGCGCGCCGGCTGGCAGAGATAGGATGAGAGGTCGATCCCGAACGTGATGAGGTTTTCTGAGTAGTTTCTTGTCTTGTTGAATGCACGGAGGGAGTCGCAGGCCTACGAAGTGGCGAAGATGAGACATGTCTGCGGTCACAATGTGAGACACTATGACGATGTTCAATTCTTGACGTGCCGCTGGGAATGTTTCTGAGACCGATCAAACATGGAGATGCACTACAATTGAGCCCCCCACTCACATAACTGAACGGCCGCGAAGGCCGCGACCAAACATCAGTGAGAAGACTCACTCATCTGTTAGATGGATCGGCGCTGGGACAAGTGAAGACTGTCCACAGACATCATGATCGATATCCTCGTAATCGGGTGGCGAGCCGAGTTCATTGATGTTATCATCGACCACATTCACAGATAAACTTGAAGATTTTTTAGGGATAGAGAGAGTTGAAGACTTGGGAAAAATTCGACTCAGAACACGCTTAGCACGTTGATTGGAGTTCCATAACCTCTGCCTCAATGAGCCTTCGGTTTTTTCCACTTCACATTCCTGAAGGCCGGTATCCATTCTTGTAGGTTTACAGGACGTGGGCAATAATTGTATACGGTGAAGATTGAGATTGTTCTTAGATCCGACTGGTAGGTTTGGATTCGGTGAAGATGATGACATGATGAAAAGCGTTCGTTTCGCAATCAAGTTCGGGCTAGGAAAACGGTTGAGTACAGATAATATTAAAGATGCAGATCGGATGGCGTATTAGATTTGGAGCCTCGCTCGGTCAAAGATTCACCACAGAGCTTGAGATTCGCTTTGCGTGACGCAACCTCAAGCCGCGAATACCGACGCTCCTGTAGGAACGATCCGATGCAGAAGAATTTGTTTTTGGACGTTCGTTGTGTGGATGTGACTGAGGTTCATGAGAGCGGACGGGACAGAGGTTTTTTTTCGCCGATGAGTCAGAGGAGAGTCAAGGTCAGACAGCGACTTGTATACCACATGAGAGCGGCGAGAAGCTTCGGTCAAATGAAAACGTCAGACGTTAGATGGAACCCTCCACTCACGTCAGGATTTTGACTTGAGTTAGAAAGTTGTATTTAGTTTTATTTTGAAATGATTATTGCAACAAATTTCCAAAGGATGATGTCTGTGATTATTCGGCTGGCTGCCCAGGGTTGAGTTGATAGACCAAGCCTCGGCACTTCGATGTCGATTTTTTGCCTGGTACCTCTCAGATAAAATCAAGGCCCAAAGGATTCTAAGAGAAGACAAAGGTTTGGTGCAGACCGTGTAAAAAAAGAAAAGGTCAGTCATGCAGATCCGACAAAACATTGTGAGGCATGATGGTACCAGGATGAAACGCTCGTTACAAGTGCTCGCTTTGACACCGCCACCATAAGACAAATAGCCAATGGTGGGGAAGCAGTTGTAGAAGAGAAGAAAAATGCACAGAGTGCCCAAAGCTTCACTGTTTCACTCACATATCTGACAGAGAAGGGATGAAGCGGAGAAAAGAAGGCGAGTTAAAATTTCGCTATGATAGGAGAGATCAGGAGAGATCTACCGAGCACAAGCTCTACAAATTGGTTGAAGGTGGGGCAATAATATATACACTGACGATCGTCAGCAGGGGCGACCAATGATAAAAAATGAAGACCAAAATGAAAAAAATTATTCATCATGATAGTGATGATGGTAATGGCGACGAGGTAGTGATGCGAAATTCAAACAAACGCAAGCTATGCCGGGGAAAAGATGAACCCGACAGTCTACAAACGATTTCATGGATTCCTTGACTATGACTCACGTTTTGAGAAGATAACCTGCTTCACACCCGATCACCGTAGCTGAGGCCTTCCTTCACTATAGGTGAATAAAAATCTCTAGCAGGCGATACCTATTCACTGTGGTTGATCGTGAAGGTCAAATCTGGATAAGGAGTTGACTGAGGGACCAGAGTCGGACGGGGACAGCTAACAGGGTACCTGATAAAAAAACTGTCTGGGAAAACGAGTGTGAGTTTCATGTCTGCTACTCTAGAAGGGAAGAAACACTGACTTGAAGCTTGATGGGCAGTTGAAGCGGAAAACACTTAAACAAGGACTCGTAGCTGATATGTGGTACCGTGCGGTTGATGGATACAACTAGCAAATGGACTGAGTCGATGACAACAAACAAGTACTGGCCGCTGTAATGCAGATGAACAATCTAAAACAAAAAGATAGATAGAATGCGAGGAGAATTTGCTTTTAAGTTGATGAGAGTTTTAAAGTACTGAAGGTCAATTATTTTCATAAGGATGATTATTCCAGTTTATCCACTGATATGCAGCACACTTGAGAAACTTTTCAAGGGGTGACTTTATAAGTAAGAAAGCAAATCATCAGCACTGTTTCGTTAGCCAACTACTGTCTGTCTCCAAAAACACCAAATAACGCGTCAATGGTAAATAAAGTACTGACTGCTTGGACTGTGATCATTCAATTTTCCAGATCTTGGGGGATCTTTATTAAGTCAGATCGTTTCGAGTTGACTGACACAGTTGGATTCTCCACCAAGTGAGAATCAAGAAATATGACGATGAAATGAAACTAATGAAACATGGATGTTGCGAGGAATGGAGTTTTTATGAGCTCACGCAAATCTGAAAATCTGCACGGAACCAAGTAAAATATAATCTGACATTAAAGATGTCTCTTCCTGCGTGGATGATTTCTATCCCTGTAGCTTGACAGCGCGGACAATTGTTTTACACATCTTTATTCTTAGATCCAAAATCTGACTTTTCAAGGAAATGCTTCCGTCGGATGATTGCAGATCGCAGAGATTAAGCATCTTCCTTAAGATCGCCACAGATTACGCAATCATTCGGGTTTTCTCAAGACTAGTCAAGGTCGACAAAGACGCCAGGTACATACATAGCCACAGATAGCCACCCTATGTGAGATCTATTTTTTTCATCCGCCTGGCTATGATGCTCTTACTGGAAGGATATGTATGAGGTGATTGTATGTAGCTAAGAAAGATTGATTTTTAATTATCCGAAGGGAAAGTCTTCTAGTTAAGCACGAGTCTATTTTTTTGGCAAATCCCCCTCCGGGCGCCGTACAGCACCGTGCTCATGGTTCAAGTTGGCCATTTCCTGTCTCCATGCAGGCTAGTCCGCTGGTCCGATTTTGGAAAAGTTACCGTTTGTCGTACAACTTTTGTCCACCGGTGTTCTAGGATATTTTGCACACCGATTTGATCACAGAAGCAGAAAGGACAACTTTGGATATGCCACGGAAACAAAGCTTTATTTCTTCCGTGCAGTTTCCCCGTTGTGCAATGATCTGGTAAAGAGAGATTTATATATTTAGAAACCATTTATTATCGAAAGATGTTTTATTTAGTCGCCTGATCTTGCAAAATTGACGGTCAAGTCAGCAAGATCTTGTCAACTTGGGGACCCTGAATCGCATCCAAAGGTTCAGCCCGGAGTCTCGAGAGCATCAAGGAATCATTTCAATGGCAATAAAACACCAGCATCACAGCAGCCTCACATTATCATAAGCACAGGTGAAGCTGACCGGAGAAAACATGCATACCAACAAATCCAATTGTGGATAGAGACAAAGTATACAGACCAGATGTAACACAGTTTTGCGAATTTTTGAAACGACTCTTCAGGATGGCTTAGGATCAGTGCGGTTATCAGATGAGTCTTTGAAGCTCTTTGAACTGAGCAAAATCTCAGAGCACCTCAAAGATTTTGTTCTCAATTCAATCGATATATACATAATTACTAAAAAAGATTCTTCTAATGGTTTTGTTAAGCATTTCTCTTCACTCCTCAATTCAGATCTTTCCCTACCTTGGTTAAGCTGGGGGGCAATCTTCATGCTTACTTTTTCCTTTCAAAGACCTTTTTTTGATGCTCTGAGCACTTTGCTTCATGGATGCTGGAGTGGTATGACTTTCTCAAGTATTGCAGATTTTCGTCATGAGGATTGAACTAAATGAGACAACCAACACCATGGTTTGTGATTTGTGAAGCTGCTGCTTTGTCTCATCATCTACACACCTGCCATGCAATGTTTATGACACCAGCTACACTCAAAAGATGAAAACATTGATTTCTTCAAACAGATCCTCTCAATGAGGAGTCGAACAAGGTGAGTTCGCATTTCTGCATCCTGTCAAGTCATCAGAAGATTTGTGGATGTAATCCTTGATATGAAAATGAAGGTCAGGGTGACTAAGCCAATTTTGGGTTGAATCTTGACACCCTTCAGTGTATAAACTCACATCCTCACTTTTCAAAGTGCTTGGACATTGTACCATTTCCTCGTGGTTGGAGAGCAGTAGAAGGAGGGGGGCTTCATCATTCAAACTCGAAGGAACTTGGTGAAACTGGATAGGGGTCTATAGTTAGGGGGTACAGTCAAACCTGTGCAATTGCATAATTTGGGTGGAAGACTTTTCCTATGCATTTTCACGGGTTATGCAATTCCATTGTCTAGTTTGGCGGTAAAAAGTACAGTCATTTAAGAAAAGCTTGCCCTAAATCGCCCGCAAAACTCGAGCGAATTGGCGGGGAATTTGGGGCAAGCTTTTCTTAAATGACTGTATCAAGATCTAGGAATTTTTCTATGCATTGTCACAGGTTATGCATCTGCGCAGGTATGCATTTGCAGCAAACGTGCCACAGGTGACAACATTTCTAGCAAATGTAATATGTGAAAAAGCGCGTGATGAGATTCAGAAATCAAATGATGCTCACGTGTCCGCAGTCAATCGGAGAATAGGTTATACAAGTTACATACAAGCATTTCACACTGATTCCGAATTTACTGGCAACTCTTCCTCCTCTGCTCGTTTCAATAACTCCAGTGTCCAACCCACTTCTCCCAAATTGACCCATCGAGTTTCCCTTTCCCAATCTCACTCATCCGGCACTTTCAATGAACACGATCGATATCACTGTAAGCATCATCACCTCTTCCTTCTTCCGACTCTCCTTTCATTTCTTTGCACGCTCCCTAACACTCTGGATAAGACGGGGCTTCCATTTGGGGTCCACTCATCTCACGTCTCTCATCCTCATTTTCCGGGAGCTATATCGATCTACACACCCCTTTCCATTTGCATCATATTTGTCACGATCACTTCGTTTTCCAAACGTTCTGATCACGATGAGTGGGGGGAAACATTCTTTGAACCTTTTCTACTTCAAAACTCCATTTACCTCACAAGTGAAACGCACTGTACTTATTTGAACTGACGCTCGTCTTTGTTTAGTATTTTTGCTAGCATCTCCCTTCAGCTACCCAATCTCCTTACTCTTACCATGGAAACTGCAATTTACTTCGTGATTGGGTAAGCTAACGAGTTCAAATTCTTTCTATTCCCCATACTACAAGCATATGAAACCCTTTTTCAAGTGTTTCTTCTCCCCATACTGTCTCATTTAAAACAGACTGTCTTGTATTTTATTCTTTTTCGTTATAGTACTCGCTATCGTTTTCCTCTGGACAAGGTCTAGACCTCGTCATAACTCGCGATCTCCACCCTCAACTGTTGCCTCTTCTAACCGATCTCGTATGGCCGCTCGATGGGCGCACATGCAACAAGGAAGTCTGAAGCCCAACGATATGGGTCAACAATCACCTGCTCCCAAGTACGAAGACGTCGAGGAAGTGCTTGGTTCCAACCCAAACCACGACGAAAATGTCCCTTTCCCGGACGAGTTCGGCATAGGTGGTGGAATTTCATCCTCGCGCAATCGTTGTGGCTCACTCACTGCTTCTAGTGCAGCTGGGAGTGCCCTGGTGGGCGCCGGCCCCAACGGAACCCGCACTTTTCTCAAAGGTATTTACACCTTCATACTTATCACAGTTATTTTCCGCTCAGCATCCAACTTACATCTATTATTTGCTTTCAGGCTGGTTCGGTTTGGATGAGCCGAATTATTCGGGTTTCAATGTCGCACCTGAAGTGCGTGAAAAAGGTCGAGGTGATACATTGCCTATGCGTACGCCCGGCGGGTTGCCTTCATCTGCGGCCAGCGACTCTGTTGTCCCACATCATCGAGTTCCAACTCAAGAGGAATCTGATGACGTCGATTGGGAGACTGCATCGGCTCACGAAGAGACTGTTTGAAAGGTTCCGATTAGATTCTTTTTGCTTGTGTTGTTGTACAGCCTTACACTTGTCACATTATCTCTAGTCTTCATTATTATTCCCTGCGCAATTTGTTCTTCATTCAGTTTGATCGTCATATATATAGCTTGCTGCTTGCTCACTCGTATGGTGCTGTGATTTGATGAGTCCCATTTGGACTTCCCTAATGTCATTCTTCTCGGTCTCCACTGTACCTAATCAACCTGGCCAGACGACCCACGCGGTTCAATTTGCCACCTGTAAACCTGTACCTATGTAGGCTCATCTTGTGTGAAGCGTGTTGAATGTGGGGTGTATCACCCGGCTGTGGCCCTGAAGTCTGACTGCTCAAAGAGCTGCAATCCCGCTCCAGGTGACGACGGAGTCGGCCTCTGACCCGGCCCTGACTGTGACAGGGTGGACTTGAGGCTCTACCCGGCCACTGCCCGACCCGAGCAGATTGAAAGGCATTTCAAGGTCAAACAGGGCACACCTCACCCAGAATTGTAGACATGAGCTACCAGGGACCAAAGGGGCAGTTCTGAATTTTATCATGTGTTTGGGTGTATGAAATTGTATATAGAACCTGTATGGGCCTGCTCAGAGCTGGAAAAGAGCTAAGGAGCCTACTCAGAAGGCAATTTCTTTGAATATGCATGCACCAAAAAAATGACAGGCAACCAGGCCACAGTGTGTTTATGACCCTTATTAAGTAGGTTATGGTGTGTTGAGGCATGTACTGTCTGCTTTCAAAAAGGCAGTGGGCAAAGTTGGCTGGGTGGGGTTGGGGCCCAATCACAGCCCTACCACAGACCATAGTTTAGTTGTAAATTTTAGCAGAAGTGATGGATGAGCAGGGTAAAAGCAGTTCAGTAAGCTTGACTGAGCCCCTATTGTGTGTTTGCCAGTCCCTTGCAGAGGGGCTTCAAACAGCTTCAAATTGACTTGTTTTTTTGGCTGGAGAGGTCCAGAAATTGCTTGGACCCTGTTTGGTAGACACTTATTGTTGTACACTGGAGTACAAGTGTACCACATGAATTGACCAAAAACCACAGTAAAAGTTCAGACTCATGATTAATCGGAGTACAAAAATAAACAATGGTAATTGTCAATGATTGTTTGGTAACTCAAAACCAAAGCCAAATTATAGTGCTTTTGGTAACTGAAGGTTTTTTGTTTTTACCCCCATGATCAAAAGTCTCATTATCCATCCTTCACATCCTTCACATCCTTCATCAATCAGGTTCATCAAGATCTCTTGTTTACTCACTCAACTTATCCATCTGAACTTTCTTCAAAATAGGTCATTAGATCATTGAAAAAATTATGTAATTGAATTTTAATTTCACGTTATCAGCTTTGAATGGAGCTCAACTGAAGATCTCATCCATTGTGTTTCTATCATTGTCATCGTCATCATACAAATTGCAATTTCCATTGTGGTGTCATGTTGACTTGCAATTCATGTAACAAATACAAGTGCTGATACAGATAAAGTGGTGAGATAGAATGATGGTATTGATCATGTGATGATATCAATAATTATCAATAATTGTCAGATGATGTGGATGACAAAGATGAGATGAGTTGAGGAAAAGATGAGAAGACTGTATGAAAAGACATGATGAAGTTGATCAGAGATGAAATGAGGTCACAAATGTGACAAGGTTGATCAAAGAGGTGATGAAGTCAAAGAATTGATACAGTAATAGAAGTTACAATGTGTAGAAGTGTTGATATATATGGGAGTCAAAGTAAAAAAAGTATAGATCAAGGTGATGTAGATGGTGGTGGGGCAAAGAGGTCAATATTTGACAAATCCCCTTCCCACATACAGAATTGATTGGAGGTAATTGGAAATAATTGCCAAAAAGGAGCTTGTAAAAATACCACATTATTGAGAGATTATTGTCCAAGTAATGTGGCACAATAATCTCTCAGCTTTGGCTACCAAACCACCAAATTTGTTTTGCAATTATTCTACTGTGATTGTGTGAATACCACAGTAACATAATTGCTACCACATGGGGTCTTGAGTACTTTTTTCACCTTCTCTGCTTTCACCATAGACAGTCTCAAGTTTTCAAAGGATGGGAGCCTAAACCAAGCGCAAATTTCCCCACAGATGGAAAGTGTGCTAACCAATACAGACAGCACTCAAAAGGCAGGCACTGTCCAATTTGCGAAAGTGGACATCTTTGGACAGGCTTCACCTGTATATTGATGCCTGTTGATGCTATCACATATTGGCCAAGAGAGACAAGAAGTTGAGTTGATAATGCCAACAATTATTAGACTTAAAACTTATCCTCCTATCATGTTGTTAAAAACCTTCATTTTGAATCTTAAAGTTCATGATTTTGCATTATCCAATGTGGTAGTTCAGTCCAAAATTTTTCTCCAGCTCATCACCAGACTGCCAGGTGAAGGAACAGAGTGATATTGATACTTTCAAGTACTTGAAGAATCTTTCCACCTGACTCAACAAGGTTCTTTCCATTCATTCAGTAGATGGAGTTGCATATTAAAAGGAATGATTAGGCCTTTGGCTTTTCCAAGGAAAGAAAGCTTTAAAAAGTTGACTCAAGTGGGAAAGGAATTGGGCCAGTGTTTTCAAACTCACTTGGAACACTCAATCCTTGCTCAATGTCATTGGTAAATGAGCAAACCTTATCACACATTCATATGCAGCAAAAACACAGAAAAAACAAGACAATTTTTCTAGCTACAACATCACTTGCTAGCCTTCAGGAATATAGTCTTGAGGAATAGGCAGCCACATGTGACCCTTCACATAACGTTGTATTGCTACTATTCACTGCAAACATTATTCAACTTCCCCAAGTGGGCAGTAAAAAGTGACTGGGTGTATGATTTGTCATAAAATGATCTATCACTTCTCACCTAGGCCATAACACCTCACGCTCACACCCGGCGGCTTTTTTGGGGCCCAGGGCGTGGCCAGGGCCATGGCCTAGCATGGTGTGGCCCAATGTGGCCTTCCATTCAAAGAACCTCAGATCTGCATTTTTGGTCGCCATTCCCTGCTTAAGACCATCTTTAGGGGGACTTTGACTGAATTCCACGCCTGTTGAAGGCCATGAAGGGGTCAGTGTGTGGGCCATGGTGTGTCCTAAGCCCTGGCCCTTGCCATGTGCCCCTCCAGGGCGCCTCGTGGCTTCGTGGCACCGGGTGTGAGCGTGAATAACACCCACACTACATATGTGTAGCGGGCTCAGTGAATATGTGGTTATCATGTACAAACAGTTCTGCTCAGTTATCTTCTCATCAGGATAAGTTATTCATATGTAATACATGGGATTGCTCTATCCCGACCCCCCCAAACCCTAGGTCGTGTTAGGTGGCCTTAAGCACCTTAACATACAGTCCAGGTGAGGCAACCGACAATTCATTCAACACATCTCATCCTCAAGATGATGGTTCTGATGAGTGTAGGATGGTCCTCTAGCAAAATCAGAAAAAGTTATCTTTTTGATAACTTTTAGGTCATCAACTCCAATACCCACACATTGTAATCATTTGATTCTTGTTGCCGCGGTTTTGTGTGGAGGACTTGACTTTGACTTGACTTTAACATGTTGATCTCAGTTGCTTCATGGTTCTCAAGGCAAGCAAAGGTTGTCCACGAGTTCGCAACGGTCCGGACTCATGGATCGTGTTGGAGGAACTTGGAGGGTTTTCAAATCTGAGATGGTGACTGTCAAGCAGGTTCAATGATGATGCTGGCGGAAGGGTTCATGTTGATATTGGTGCGGTTTGAGTCGGATCAGGAGTGAGGGAGGATTGTGCAGCTGTCAGATGCTCACAAAATCTCATGCCTGGACTGTATGTTAAGGTGCTTAAGGCCACCTAACACAACCTAGGGTTTGGGGGGGGTCGGGATAGAGCGATCCAATACATGCTGTAACTTTTTTGAGATCAAAAAAAAGCATTCAAAAGATTGAATACATACCACCCACTTTGGTAACCATTGTGTGACATGTGCGACCCACTGCGCACCACCAAAAAGACGCACTGCATTTTGGTCGCATATGTGACCCCAAAAAGTAATTTGGTAAACCAGAATGTGACGGAAGACGCACACGCATTTTTGCACATATGTGCAAAAATCGTGCACATTCTTGAAAATGACTAAAAGTCGAATCTTTTGAAGTTAATGCAACTGCAACTTTCCATTACTCTCTCTTTCCACCCATCACTCTCCCTCTTTTCCATACTTCACCAAATTTCATCCTTCATTACCACTAACAAAATCAACTTCTCACCCCCCAACTTCCATTAGGTTCAACTATTGGATCCTCTACACAACCTCAATCTTGACATCACCTTCTTGATCTCAATATGGCCTTTCCTTTGATCGATCATAACAATCAATATTTGCATCCAATCTTGATATTGACCGTCTTTGATTAATCTCAAGTTCCTTGTTTTCCTCTGGATCACAAACAATTTCTTTTATCTTGAGTAGCATTCAAACATTTCAGTGTTGATTACCTCACTTGTTAAATATTGCTTATTTGATTTAAATTTGTCATTATTGAAGATGTTTTATTTCTGATGCAATTGATGATCATTGATACACAAAAGGTTCAATGTTATTGAAAAACAAATCACATTGAAAAATCACCCGAGTCTCTTTAGTTTGAATGTTCAAGTCAAGTGAATGATGTTGTGGCGTTGAGGGGAGGGAAATTTGACTGGTTTGACCATCATTGAAGTCGATGACCTCCTTTAACAGATGGCACAAAGTGTTATTGTGATCAATCGCGCTGAATAGTGATCACATACCTTTTACCAAACGTTCCCGAAAAACGAAGTGTTATGCGATTTTACATATACACACATGGTGAGAAAATTTCTCACCGTGATGTAAAAGTTGCATCAAATTATTAATGCGACTTTTTTTACCGAAGTGGGTGTACACTGACTCAATGTTTTGGTGTAATCTAATCAACTCAACTGCATGTAACACCCTTTCTGTTACAAAGAAACAGCTTCAACAATATTGCCAGAGCCGCTACAGAATTATACGTAGTGAATGTTTGGCACAATTTTTTCAAAGTCAAAAAAGTTGCATGTGGTATAACATGTGATTTATCTATTCTGATGGGCGAAAAACTGAGAAGACCTGTATGTACATGATAGACAACTATTGACTTAGCTTGCTGCACATATGTAGTGTGGGTGAAATGGCTCAGGTGTGCAGTATTAGATTCTTTTATGACAAACTGTACTATTAATCATTTTCCTCTTCCAATTTGG